ACTACAGGCACGTGCCATCATACCCAGCTAATTTTTGTTAGGAACATAAACACTGCAAAGTACTTTCCACAGTCTAATCTTGGAATCTTAACAATCACATTTTTACCAATAATCTGTGAGGCTCTTTATTATCTTAAAAAGAAGACTTTATTTTTTATGTCTCTAAAATGCAGTTTCAACATGACAAATGTGCAAATTGGTGATCAAACAGGAAATTACAAAATTATAAATGACATAATTTTAGAGCTAGAAGCATTCATTGAAATAATCTACTCCAACCCCCTTGTTTTGCATTTGAAGAAATGACCTGACCCCATTTGTTCCAGGTCCTAGAGTCCCATCACAGTGGTACCATGACCACATCTCCTGACTCCTGAAGTCTAGAGGCTATCCCATAACTCCATTCTTCTCCCACCTCCAGAGGCATCTCTTTCTACTGACATCTCCCAACATGAACCCTTAGGGAAAATTTCTGATGCCTTCTTAAAACAAATATGCATTTTGTGATGGCATCCCAGCGACCCGCTGTCAGGGACAGATCAATAGTCTCAGAGCTTTGGGCAATTCTTAGCTTTCTTCCTCTTCATATCTATACTTTAATAAAATAACTCTCTCCCTCCCTCATTCATTCAACAAACATTTCTTGAACACAATTTATGTAACAGGCCTAATCTCGAGGCCTAATCCATGGATTAGGAATTAATTTTAACCATTATAGACATATCACTTTTCAAATTTCTTTTTTATTTTTAGAGACGGGGTCTTGCTATGTTACCTAGGCTGGTCTCAAACTCCTGGGCTCAACTGATCCTCCTATCTCAGCCTCCAGAGTAGCTGGACTACAGGCATGCACCACCATACCTGGCAACACATGATATTTTTAAAGTGCTTTCAAAGAATACCAAAGCTTTCTTTCTATGGATTTAGTGTTTCTTCCAAGACTTAGTGTTGGGTGAAAACACAAAGTATATAATAGTGTGTATATTATGCAACCATTCATTAAGAAAAGAAGAAAAATACATGTATGTGCATATACAGAAACATATGTGTATATAAACACATATTTACTTGTATAGGTACAAAATACTTTTGGAAGGATAATCACATAATTAGTAATACTGGTTGCCTCTAAGGAGGGTAAAGGAATGGCTGGGGACCACAGTATGAAGGAGAATTTTCATTTAAATTTTGATCCATGTGAATTTACTCTCTATTCCAAAAATAAACTAAAAATAAAATTAAGAGACTCAATTCTTTCATAATTTTAAAGAAGCCCCTACTCTCAGACAAGCAATTGCCTGAAGTCAGGTTCATCTTTATTACAGAGCCCTGTCCTGAGGCCCTTTATAGTTTCCTTTTCTTCTTTCCAATTTTATCTTTATGGCCTCATACCATGGATCTCTACCCATCTGGCCACAGGACTTCCTTCCCATCGAGGCTGAATTGTATCTGGCAGCAGGACTGCTATAAAGACAGAAACCTCCATCTGTATTTAAGGTCTCAGAAATGAAAGTGGATCTCTGTAACAAAAGAATTATGTGATGTTAAGTCCAAAACATGCTTACTTCTGCACTAATGGAAGGAAACCTATTTATGGTTAATCTAAAAATGTGTGTTTATCTTTAAAATAGTTCTGTCTCCACTTTTAAAAATTGGAGTGTACCTGATATACTGTGTAAGGAAATAAAATGACATTCTGAGTCTGAATATCAGACTCAGAAGAAATTAGAAAACTGTGAAATTTTCCCAGGGTCTTCTTGAACTTTCTTGCTTACCTTAAAAACTCTCTTTATAACTCACTCCATGCAGGTAAAAGATTTTCTGTCTAACAAAAAGCAGCCACCTAAGAAGATCTACATTTAGTTAAATCTCTAGTATTTGAATTTCCAATATCAAGCTACTTGTGAAGAGAGTTTGAGCCTAATGACCAGTAACTAGAACATACTGTAATACTACACCTTGATTAATTTGTGGGAATATTCCTCTAGGAATTAACTGGGATGGAGGGAGTGCAGGGGAGTAACCTGATAAAAAGATGTGCATAACTGTTCTACTTATATTAGGAAAAGTTGGGAAATAGATGCCCAACAACATGAGAATTAACAAGCAAACCATGTAGGTCAAAACAGGGCAACCTTTTGTAGAAATTTAAAAATAAAGGATAATAATGTTAAGAGAAAATACACAGAATAGTATATACATTGATGGTGCTCTAAAACTTATTTTATATTCATTCTCAACAGATGACAACTTGGGGCAATGGTAACAATTTAATGATTATTAGGTAACTCTTTCTTTTGCAAAGTTGTATCTATCTACACCTTACACAAAGATAAAGAATCTTAGCTGAATTCTTCATTTCAACTTGCCTACAGAGTTTCCTCATTTGATGAGGGGGCTGAATTAGAGCAGTATCTCTAAAGTCTGTTTGAGCTCTAAAAATTCTATGTACTTTCCTATTAAGCTGCATGAATTTATGGAGAACATTAAATGTTATCAGTTCTACAAACTACAAAATCTTGGATCAGATTGCTGTTTTAAACATGAGTCTGTACTACTGTTTTAATTTTTACAGTGTAAAAAAAAAATGAATCTGTAGTGATGTGACTGCAATCTGGTTCAGATACCAAACATATCAAGCATCTAAACTCAACTCTAGCCTATGCAATCTATAAAAACAATTTGATTACTATTAGAAGACAATAGTCAAGTTCCTAATATATATACTTTCAAGCCTTTTCAAGTATTTCCCACTCAGAAATTAGGAGGAAAAAAAAATCAAACAATTTACATAAATGATTATGCCCATAATGGTAGTATTAAAAATAACAACAATAATAACAACATTGGGTGTTTATTATGTGCCCTAGGCACTATATCAAATGCTTTACTTGAATTTTTTTTCCATTTAATCCTAACGATATCTCTGTAAATTCTTTCCAATTTACAGGGAAAGAAATTTAAGGTCAGAGGGGATAAAAAAATTTCCCCAGATTACCCAGCTAGAAAGAGCAGAGTCAAGACCTGGACCAAGTCTGTCCAACTCTAAAGCTCACATTCTTAACCATTATACTTCACTGCCTCCATAACACAAAGTCAATATGAACCCCCTCCAAAATATCTCTGAAAATTATCTCTGCTTTTCTGATTATTACTCTCAATTATGAAGCATCAAGTTGAAATTAAAAATCTCAGTATGGCTTACAATCAGTCTAAGTAAGTTGTAAAAATAATGCTGTTTGGAGTTAACCTTTATTAAAACAGGTCAGAAATACAGAAGTAATTAAATTGCATTCTTTGAATCATATGAAATATAAACCATGCAAGGTTCTGTGATGAAGAGCAATAGAACATAAAATGCTCTATGAGAATAGATAGGTTTGTGGACCAGAAACAAGACAGAGAAGCAGGTCCAGAGGGCTGGAATTTGTTTGGCTTTTTCAAGTTGTGCTTTCATCAGTGTCTCCAATCACCGCTGGTAACTCCATTGTTCCCAGTAACGTGTGATGCCTCTGAGACCCCACAGGAGCTCAAACTCATCATAATTATGATTATGAGACAACAAACACCTTCAGTGTATGATTTAATTTCCTGAATTCCAAGAGTTATCTGTGATAACAGGGGAATTGAAGGAGTCACTACTCTCACCATGAGTGAAAAATTTAGTCTCAAGCTATTGTTAACTCACCACATGTTCAAGTCAGTAATCATGAAAGAATATAGTGTAGAGAAACCTGCCCGTTTTCATCTTGTCTAACCGACCTTCTAAACAGGTGTATTAATGATAAATTTTTCTTGGAGGAATACTTTTTCTTTTTTCTTTCCTAGGTTGGCGATTCAGAGTTAATTGCTCTATGCCAGTGGCAGTAAAAGGGATGTAGTGATCTGTTTAACCACATCCAGATGAAGGAACTTCTCAATTATTCACTTATTAAATTCAATACTGCTGAGAGGAAGAAGGAATATGGCACACCAACCACCCCTAAATATTCAGAATTCATTTTAATCATATTGAACATCACAACTAAGAAACTGAAGTAAACCATTTATGTATCTGACATATATGATATGATTAATATGAATTATGAAAATTTATTCTAAGTTGCCATGTAACAAAAAGCAACTTAAAGTTATTTTTGCACATCAATTACGCAAATACCTGAGCTCTTAAAGTTGGAAATTTCCACATGTCACTGATAGTTCATTGTCTAATAAAAGAAAATTCTTAAAGTTATGAAATTAAAAGCGTATTTCTGAGAGCACTGCATAAAATTTTAAACTACCAAAGTCAACTTATAAACAAATACCCTAGATTTATCAGCACAAAACTTTCAGCTACTCTATTTTTTTTCACATAGAACATTCTCTCAATGGTAAGGTATTCACAGGGTAAGGTATAGTAAGACTCTTATAATTTTGTTTGACATAAATAACTTACCCTAGGTAGTTATTTACCCTAGGTAGGTAGTTATTTACAAGGATATTTTAAAGTAA